TGTCAATTCGCTGGTATCTTAACTCTGGCACATCGTTCGATCCGCTGACACGTAGTTCGTTCCGCTGGTACACAGCTCGATCGCTAGTGCAACGATCGTATCCCACAATTCACTAGCGAATAGCTGAATTCGCAAAGTCCGACATCGGTCTTACGCTCCCAACACATACGTGTTGACTGTGACAGTTCTACGGCCGGAAATCAAATTTCTTATAGCTCCCTTGTTGTTTGGACTAGTATCAAACCAACTCTTATTTTTCGTTCTTTTTGCTATCTTCATGGAGCAAGGGAGCCAAGGCATCGACGTATGGTGAAGATGGATGCAAGGGTTTTCCAAAAGCGATTTATTCAAGCTTCCAAAATAGTAATTGTGGCGACTACACCTTGCACTACACTTCTGCGCTATTGAAAACAAGAATGCTAGTGAATCCCAGAACTATTCCCACATTTGCTCATAAATATACATGACAGAAGCTATTGTTATCGAAACAGTGATGGTGGAACAAGAATCTCTCGGTGGTACTATAACGAAAATACTGAATACTCTTTGCGTACTGAACGTAACGAGTTATCCCGAGGAGCTTTGAGGAGAGCAACTCTCCAGCGCACATTACAGCGCCATATTATTTTCTACAATTTGATGTATTTGAAAGGAGTGATAGCTTTCGAAAATTCGTTCGCATCCATTTTCAACACCTAGGCCAGCTCGCGGAATGCGCCTTCAAAGGCGGAATTAACGATAAAAAGTGGGCTCATTGGAAATAAGGGTAGAGGTGGTCCGTAGGAGCAGGGATGAAGAAGAAACCATTTGATACCTTTACTTTGACATGTATGTGGGGCCTTAATAGGTTCTAATCATCTGAACCGTAATCTGAAACATGTCTTCAGAGATTGATTGAAAGTGCATAATGGTTATGTTCGCTTATTGTTTGTTTTGTTTTGTTGGGTTTTTTTTTCTTTTTTCTTTCTTTCTAATGGGACCTAACTCCATGGGCCGTGTGCCCAGTGTTTCCGCCACAACTGACGGCATGTCTTTATAGACGTATAAATAAATAAATACGGCCCAAATTAACACTACGCTCTCTCTGCTATCTAATCACTCGCCACGTATAGACCTGCGGCGAGTGATTAGATAGTCGGTGGGCGTACCCCGCCAACCGCGCCAAGAGTGAGCCATGCTAGATCGCCGAGGTCAAATCTTTCGCTGCCAATTGCGCGTCGGTCAGCACCCTCAGGAGGTCCGCCTGTCTCCCAACTATGCATTTTCCCTTCTTTGACCTTCGTTCTTATCGTGAATTCCTCCTTCAACTTGATTACACTCCTGCAGCGGTGCGTGACGATTCAATCGTTTGTACTGTGAGGCTGGATCATTGGAGAGATCTTAAGTTGACGCTTGTTAGCTCACTGATGTTAGCACTTTGGTCTTAACAGTTATCTGACCCTACCTGCAACTTATGCACATGGATGGCTTAGCCAAAGTCCATACAGAAATTGCAGCACCAACTACCGCGCGCGACGCAGCTCGCCGCGTGAGCGGTGTGGCCTCATTGGCTTACGATTGAATTGACCGTCTCCCCTGCGGTTATTATTCCACACTACGCTGACATTGAGAGATATTCCTTGCCTGAAGCCTTTCCGTTACTACCCCACTACTGTTGGCTGCCAATATTAGATCAGTACCTTTCAAGAGACACCCTTGTGATTTCAGAAGCCTACGATCCATGTGCTGCCACCACTTGTCCGGTTGGGTCCGAATGTCGAGTAAGACAAGTTGTGTGCGTCAGAGCGCCATGGTGAGTGCAGCGATCATGTAGCTTTGTTTCCTACAACTCATTTATGAATTTCACATGTAACCTCTATTCACAATTTTCTCCAGATATGGGTCTCCCAAAGTTACCACATCTTCACTAAAATGCTTCCTTTTAGTAACCCAGTAGCAGAATGTGTTCCACAATCACAAGACAAGCGATGTGGACAGTTTGAAAGCTACAGAAGCTGCGCAAGCAATTGTGAACCCAGCTGCGCCGACAGAAATCCCGTGAGTTTTTGTGAGCTTCAGTCTTATAGCTTAACGGATTGTGTTGGCGCGAAAACATACAGATACCCCATCAAAACCGTCGTTCTACCATGCCACTCATGCCGCGCTACGACAGCGAACGCAGAACTAACCAAATATAAAAAACGAGAAGAGCGTCAAGTGCAGACCATACAGAGGTCCACAAAATCTTAATTGTATTCTATCGCTTGCCACTAATTACAGCTATCATTTACCAGAAATCAGCTATCACTATGAACACTTTAACCAGATTTACTTGGAGGCCGTCGTCACTTGTGGTGTTTGGTCTGCACCCGACACTCTTCTCCTTTTTTGAAAGGAGGTATGTCTGTTCAAACGAAACCAGATTTGGAATTGGGAAGATGAAAAGCTAAGGTGATAAAGCAGAGAGAGACATGTGTTGACTTTGGCTATCTCGAAGCTTAAGTTGAACTAAATATCGAAAAAATGTAAGGCTTCAAAAATTTAATGCGAAGAAAAACAGAAAACGTCTAAAAGAATATCAGGAATGGTTTGCTTTGCACGTGGCGATATTTCGGTTCTTACAAGGAAAGGTTTTCGAACCGAAAAATATTAAATGTAATTTGGAAGGTAGATCTGCAAGTGTACAAAAGTACTACGTGAACTTTCCAAGATCTCATAAGAGAACACTTTTCAAAATGGCTTTCAAACTTCCACTTGGGTGGTACAAGGCGAGCTTATCTATCCCCAGCGTTTCCAATCTTCCCTGGAACCAGGGAATTGCGTTCGGTCCGCGCTCTTAGTAGATACGCCTACCTATCCACTAGAAAAGGTTCCTCTTTTTCGACCTTCGTGGTCTTATCGTGGAATCCTTTTTCAAACGAGAGCATGTTTGTTCTCGAATTTGTGTGTTTCTCTTTCAATCAGGATGAGAATTGAAAGACCGAGCGTAACAAACGAATAATTTAATCACATACTGATTGCAATAATTTCATTCAATTCAAATTATAATCGAAGCCTTTCGTTAGCGTTGAAGGTAGGAGAAGGGGAAATTACATAGCGGGAATGCTGGCGGAGGTGCGGAGTGAAACGCAATTTGCTGCGAAGAGTTTGTCCCGGTGATCTCCCCGCGGCGCTATCGGCGCGGTACACCCCTGACTGGCTGAACACTCGCCGCGGACCTCTAGCGGTTCAGCGGAGAGGCTGTTAGCGTGGCATGAAATGGTTCCTATTCTCAAGTTCTGGGCAGTCTCACGGCTTTTTCTTATAC